ATTCCGTATGTGAACCAGAAACCAGGCTGTGGTGTGTGTGTGTGTGTGTGTGTGTGTGTGTGTGTGTGTGTATGTGTGTGTGTGTAGGTATGTGTGTGTGTGTGCTTTTTAATTAGCTTACAAGTGAGTGAATTTCCATAATGCTTCAGTATTTTTAGTTTGCTAACCTACCCTTTGCTTCCTCTTCTCTCCCATCCACGCTGCCATCCCCACTAATTTTTAACTTCTCTTATCTCCTCATGTCTTTTTGTGCCCTCTTTTCTGGGAGTTGATGATACTTGACATTAGCTTCCTTTATATCCTACTTTGGCTTACAATTGCTTTGATGAAACACCATGACCAAAAACAACTTGGAGAAGAAAGGGTTTATTTGGCTTACATTTCCACATTGTAGTCCATCAGTGGAGAAAGTCAGTGCAGGAGTTCAAGCAAGGCTGGAAGCTGAAGACAGCACAGGAGCTGATGCAGAGGCTGTGGAGGAATGCTGCATACTGGCTTACTCACCATGGCTTGCTTAGCCTGCTTTCTTACAGAAGCCAGGACCACCAGCCTAGGGGTGGTACCACCCACCATAGCGGTGGTACCTCCGCCATTGATCACTAATTAAGAATATGCCCTATAGCTGGATCTTATGGAGACATTTTCTAATTGAGGTCCCCTCCTTTCAGATGACTCTAACTTGTATCACATTGACAGAAAACTAACCTTCACACTCTACAAAGATCATTCATTTCCCTCTCTGGGCTGACTCCAGAAGAGGTGGCTCCTAGAGCTAGAGGTGTCTCCAAAGAAACTTACTAGATAATTCAGAAGAAGAGGACTCCCAAAAATGCCTTTCCAGTGACTATATGAAAATCCAGTAATGTGTTTTCCTGATATTAAAGAGTGCAGTGGTGGCCATACTCTCCTGGCAGGTGCCCTGTGACCCCTGCAGGAATCCCAGTAGCGGATGGAGCAACTGTGTAGTCTGTCCGTTGTAAGGAACACGCTGTTTCTTTCAGGCACTGTGTTGGGGGTTGCTGGTGTTCTCTGAGTGAGAATGTTTTGTCAGAGTGATGGGTAAGTGTCACCCCTATACACGTCAGCATGCCAGGGAGGTGCCAGTTAGGATAGCAGATGTTTTGTTTTGTTCTTTATCCAAATTACTAGCATGACAGCTCTGACCTCCTTGGAAATGCTTCATCATCGTTGATAGATGTGCCTGGTCAATAAACTCTAAAATGTAACACACACGAGAAAGGGGACACCTTCTGATGACATGCCCAGAGCACACTTGGGAACAGTTCGGCGTGTATCTCATGTGACCTTGCTGACAAGAATAATGCGTGTCACCCAGTAAGCTATTTTTTTAAAAAAAAAAAAATCTAAGGTTTCTGACTATTTAGAAAATCTTTAGATTTTTCAGTGGGGTTTCATTTCATTAAAAATATAACAATTCTGCCTGCTTTATAAAAAAAAAAAAATAACTGCTTCAGGTAGGTTGGATGTTTGTCAGTCTAACCTCAGCAACAAAAACCTTTCGATCAGTTTGTGGAGTAAGATACATATGAATGTAGGAAGGACAAAGACCCTAGCAGTCCCTAAATCCAAAAGCTGCTATAAGCAGAACCCAGAATAAAACTTTTCAATACAGTGAGCTGGTTAAGGCCAATTTTCATTTTAGTGCTATTTTTTTATCCTATTTTTAGTCTTTGGAATTTTCATATATGTGCCTAAAATGTATAAATCATAACCATAAAAGGAAGTGTAGACTTCCTCTTAAGAGCATATATTGCAATTTCCTGTGGGGCTGGTTGTAGTGGCGCAGGCCTTTAATCCCAGCACTTGGGAGGCAGTGGCAGGAGGATCTCTCTGAGTTCGAGGCCGGCTTGGTGTAGGTCGTGAGCTCTAGGCCAGCCAGAACTATGTAGAGAGACTCTCAGAAACAAAACAAAGACAGCAAACAGTATCTTTCTTCTGTCCCATCTCCTATCCTTGGTGTTTTCCCATCTCCTTTCACCTTCTACTGTCACCTCTAATTGACCTTTTCCCTTGGCTTGCAGGATTGTAGGTCTCAGTGTAGCTCATTCACTCACCATTTATTTTGGCTTCGTTTCTCTATCTCTTACCTACCTCCATGCTTGACTCCACAAGCAGTGTCCTCTGTTTCTGTTTTATCATCCCTTCTCCCTTAAGGCATCCACTCCAGATTATTCAAGCATTTTATTATTAAGCAAAGATATTCAATTTCATTGTTTTTTTTTAACTTAAAGTATTACTGATAGTAGCAATAATTATTTTGGAGAGGATAAATAGTGTTGTGCCATTCATACAAGAAAGCCATTATTTTCAAAATCTATTTTTCCATCTTAGTTCTACCCTGTAAGGGCTTTCCTTTGGGATTCACTAATATACAGCATGTTAAATATAATTAGTGATACCTTTCCTATGGAGTAGAGGGTGTTTGCAATGTTCTGTTGACAGGAACGGGAGATGAAAAGCCCGAGGCCGGAAGTCAGAGGCCACTGACCTTTGAGAGAGACCCAGAGCAAGCCACAGACTCACTCATGGGACACTCACTGCCAGATAGCCACCCCGACAGTGGCTCGGGGCAAAAGCATGCCCAGTTCCCATGTGTTGTTTTTCTTTCCATTAAAGGTCATGGACTCTGAGCCCCCTTCAGGATAGCCAGTGGTCAAGTCCTTCTGTTTACAGAGTGGGCTCCAGCCTGTCTGGGTGGTGGTGGCCAGTGTCAGCTCTAGTTTGACCTACAGTCTGGGGCCCAGTCATGTATTTCTTGTGTTTCCATGCACTACAGTCTGCCCCCTCTCTATTGGGTTATGCTAATTTATTGATCTTGTTTAAAAACAAAAAAAACAAAACCAAAAAGGAAAAAAGGAAAAACAAATCACTTAGCTTTCATGCTGTGGTCATTGTGTCCTCACCTCAGCTCTTCGGCTCAACCCTTCCTCACATTGCTCCTTGGAATGGATTCTTCTTGGTTTGACAGACGGTATCATGTCAGGAAACCTAGCAGCATGTAACTGGTAAAGTCAACTCTAGAAAGAGTAGTGTAGCCCTCCCCAAAGCTTTTGACAAATGCAGATCTAGGAACAATGGTTCTGAAAGTGCATGAAAAGTTGCTGTAGCACAGAGATGTGCTTGTCCTGCCTTGTACATCACTGACCACCACATGGTTTGGCTCACAGATGGCTATAACAGGCCCCAAGCATCAAAGGCACTGTGGTAGCATTTCTACTATACCTGGAGTCTGATATTAAAAAATGGTAACACTCATACATAGACTATTTCTCAAGCCAAATCCTTTAGACTTTCAAGTTTTATAGCAGAGGTATATAACTTCTCTCTCTCTCTCTCTCTCTCTCTCTCTCTCTCTCTCTCTCTCTCTCTCTGAGAACTGTGGCGCACCATAGGTCACTGGTCAACATTGATAGCATCCCTTGAGTCTCATGGTGGCCCATGCATAGGGCCATCCCTGACATTTTTTCTTAGCTCTGTAGAGCCATAGTCTGTGGTAAGTTGACTATGACCAGTTGCTTGTGATAGTTCGAAAGCAAATGGCCCCCAAATGGAGAGGCACTATTAGGAGGTATGGCCTTAGGAGGTGTTAGAGGAAGTGTGTCAATGTGGGGGTGGGCTTTGAGGTCTCTTTTTCCTAAACTTCACTCAGTGTGACAGTCAGTCGACCTCCTCTTGCCTCTGAGTCAAAATGTAGCATTCTTAGCACCAATATCAAGTCTGCCTACATGCTGCCATGCTCCTCTTAATGATCATAATGGACTGGACCTCTGAAACTGTAAACGAGCCACTCCCAATTAAATGTGGTCATGGTGTCTCTACACAGCAATAGGAACCCTAACTGGTTCCTCCGGCCCCTTATCCATTCCTTAGGGCTTCGCTCCCTGCTTCTGGTTCAAAGAATATGCACTCACTCGGATGAGCTGGGTCCACCCCAGCCGGGTTCTCATAGCATTCTTGACATAGTGCCAGCAGGGTGTGGGCTCTTGTGGAGGCAACAGAAGTTCTAGGGGTGATACGGTGTCCTGGGGAGGTGTCAGCCACCTGGTCCAGAGTTTTCTGGGCTGGTGCAAGCTAGAGTGGGCACATAGGTTCCCAAGAGGTGTCCAACGAACAGGAACAGGATCTGGGGAGTAGACCCTGAAAATAGGAGAGCCATTGTCAGCCCCTGAAAGTTAGAATGAGGGGTGGAGAACCCTTCACCGCCGCGTTAAGGCTCTGGCCCTGTGTCAGGTATGAACGATGAAGAGTGGACCTCCCATGCATCTAGAGCCCTGCATGGCTGATTAGTGAGGTTGGAGCCTACCCCCTACCCAGAGAATTTACTCTAGACACTCGGGGAATGGGGAAAACACCCTTTAATAGCATGTATCCTGTTCTGGTTAACGCTCAAAGAGAAACCAGCCATGAACAGAAACTTAACATAAAGTTTATGTAGGTCATAGGCTTCAACATTCCACATAGCAAGTTGCACTTTGAGCAACTACACAGAGACAGAAAACTTCAGGTCTGGCCAGTTAGGACAAGTTGGAGATTTTTACTCAATGTTATTGTCACAGTTACTTTTAATGTAGATGGCCTGGGCCATCCTACCTGGCTGAATTATGCTCTTCTTGGTGAGAACCAAGATAGGCATGTTCATTGATATGGAAATGGGGCCTAATTGGTGTCGATCCTGGTGAACAGATCTTAGCAGGAAGGTACTCCCCAGGATCCTGAAGTTCAGTTATGTTGGAGGTACACAACCTCTCCGACGGTTCCTCACAAGCCTGTTTAGTGTGCTGCTTATGTTCTGGGTACATTAGAGGAGGTGGCTCCTTCAGCTAAAGTCCAGGTTGTGTAACTTAATATTCCCTAAGCAAGCCTACTGGTAAGCCCTTCATCACATCATTTGACCACCCTCAGCCTTTCCTATGTCAGGGTGTCATTGTGGGAGGGTGAGGCAGCATGCATGGTTGCGACTCGTGCCCCATGACCCCCAGGCAGAGGAGGAGAGGGATGACATGGAGAGAGTGAAGCTGGACAACAAGAGGATCCTCTTCAACCTCCTGCCAGCCCACGTCGCACAGCACTTCCTCATGTCCAATCCGAGGAACATGGTGAGTGTAAGGCCTCCTGGGGCCTGCTGGGTGACAGGACTTCCTGGTCTGCAGCTGGCTGCCAGCTCAGCATGGCCCGCTCTGTGTCCCTCTGCTTCATCGGCAACTAGGGGCCTCTTTGACCTTCAGAAATCCCCGATTTTGTTGCTCAGCTCCCTGCCTGGTTTTCCTGCCAGTCCCCCCCCCCCCCGGAAGTGGATAAATCCTGGGCCGCCAGGAAACTCTGGGGACTGTGGGTTGACGGGTGTGCGTTTCTTCCACTTACTTTCCCTTTGATCGTGGCCTGGGTATAATATTCAGAACACACAAGCGGAGGGACGTGGGCTTTAACGAACCAAATGTAGAGAGGAAACCCTCTTTTTCAAGTTTGGATCATTTCCCATAGCTTCCCTCATCTGGGGACAATGTGAACAGAAAAAGCGGAACACGCCCGTGTGTAACTGTCTGCTTGGAGCTCGTGGAGATTTTCTTTCCCTCCTCTGCGTGGAATGTTTGGTCAGAGCTCCTTACAGCCTTGCCTGCTGCAGTTACTGCAGCTACTGGCATAGCACAAGGGAGATGCCTACAAAGGCCAAGTTCAAAAGTAAAGAAATCTGGGCTGCTTTTAAGGTTCTAGGGGCAAGAGCAGCCTGGGCATTCAGCCTTAATCTTCCCGGCTGGACGCAGCTGCTGATGTGTCTGTGCACTCAGCTGAGCTTTAGAGCCATGGAATGTATGGCTCTCATATGACACCACCCCCCTTCCCTGAGATTCCATCACCTCTCTAGGCTCCAGGATAAAACTGACCACTCAGGATTTGCCCGTGCAGTGGAGTGCGCACCCTGGAGCCCCCAGTGTTTCTCACTTCTCTCTAGAACTATCTGGACTCCTATGGTCTGGCTAATCCCCCTTCCAAACCCTGTTCCTGTTGTTTGGCCATACCTAGCATGACATGGGGGGGGGGCGGGAGCTGACCCCGTCTGTCTTTGCAGGACCTGTATTACCAGTCCTACTCCCAGGTGGGCGTCATGTTCGCCTCCATCCCCAACTTCAATGACTTCTACATCGAGCTGGATGGCAACAACATGGGGGTTGAGTGTCTACGGCTCCTCAATGAGATCATTGCTGACTTTGATGAGGTGAGGCCTTGCAACAGCATCTACTGGCAGGGTAGCAAGGATGAGTCTTCCTGGACCCAAATCCTGCTTGTGTCCATTGTGCCTTCATTAGGGTCCAGGGCAGCTGTGACAGTTGAGACAGAGCCTATTGACTCTAAGATAGGGACCAGGGCTGGGCAGCTTCCACTCCAGGTGTGCAGGTAGGAACCTGTGGGCCCTGACCAGGCACTGTGGATGCTCTTCTCCACAGTGACTGTGAGCTTAGCTTCAGGGACATGGATGTGTCCATATCTCCTTGAGACACATGGATGTGTCTCTTTCATACTTATGGTCAGACACAAAAAAACAGACCAGAGGAGCAGCTGTGCACAATTTAATGGGCACTTCCTCTGTTGCCGCCTAGTGGATGATGGCTATATGACGTCTCTCCAGTGTTTGAGTAACAGTTTTGTTTTTTAAACAAAGCTCATGGACAAGGACTTTTACAAGGACCTGGAGAAGATTAAGACCATTGGGAGTACGTATATGGCCGCCGTGGGGCTGGCGCCCACAGCAGGAGCCAGGGTAAGTAGCTCCCAGGCCACTTGCTCAGGCCTGAGCCGTGGCTGTGTTGCAGATGTTTCTGGGACCCTGGGCTAATCCCCATACTGGAGATGGTTTCTGTGTTGGATCAGGGGAGAAGATCCTAGGCTATCTTGCCATTGGCTGGTTCCCTCTAGATACCCAACCTTAGGAAAGCCCTCAGTCTTTAGCCCTCCTTTCCAGCTACCTCCTTTTGCTCTCAGCCTTGGAACACTGAAAATTTTCCCCCAAAGTGGAATTGTGAAAAGGAAGTGGGTCTGCAGCTTCTGAGGAGATTGATCCAGTAATAACCAATCTCCAGATCAGGAGTCAGCAGGTTATTTGGCCCAACATCTACGGAATGAAGGATGCCAGTCACCTCTAGCCTCTTCCAGAAGACAGAAGCAGAGGGAAGGCTTCCCAAGACTCATCCCAGGGCATATCCTCATCCCAAAGCTAGATAAAGACATCACAAGAAAGAAAAAAACACAGATCAGTATTTATTCCTCATAAATGTAAATGCATAAATTCCTCATCAAACAACAGACTGAATCAAATAGTAAGTAAAATGAATTCTACATGAGGGCCATGGATTTATTACAGGTATATAAGATTGGTTTAACATTCCAAAATGAATGTTTGAAAGTTTCCCTATCAACATATGATCCTAGAAATTGATGCAAAATTTTTTTTGCTTCACCACCTATGAATAATTATTAAACTCAGAAAAAAAAAGGAAACTTCTAACCGGACAAAGAATATACATAAAACCCTACAGCCTAACATAATATGGAATAGGAAAAAAAAACAAAAACAAAAACTCTCCATTCCAAGATTAGGAGCATTGCTAAGATGTCCCTTCTCCCAGCATTAATATTAGTACTATCATTAATTATTAAAGTTGGGATTTTGCTAACTAGTCTAGTCATGACTTGAACCACTATGTAGCCCAAGTTGGCAAAGAATCCCAATCCTCCTTGCTTCAACTCCTGAATTCTGGGATTGAAGTGTACATCACCATACTCTACTCTCTCACTACTAATATTTAGCAGCATTCTGAAAGTCCTAGCTAAGGTTATAAGACAAGAAAAGGAGATAAAGCACTTAGGACTTTGAAGGAAGAAAGAAAACTATCTTTGTTTGCAGATGACATGATTTTATATATGTAGAAAGCCTGAAAGAACCAATGATGGGTGGGGTAGAAGATGGATAAGTGACTCTTGTAACTCTTGTAACTAATGAACTAATAAATGAGCATCGGAAGGTTGCAGGATACAGAGGCCATATGAAAAAGTTAGTCCTGTGTAGTAGCAATTGACATTTGGTATTTGAAATTACAAACACGACACCATTTATATTGGCACTAAAATATAATACTGAATACAAATATAACACGCCATATACAAGAGCTTTATAAGGAAAGCTGTTCTGTTCCCTGCATGGGAAGGATGACCGAGTTGTGCCAGGTTCACAGAGTCCCAGACCAACCCAAGGAGCCAGACAATTCCCATGCAAGCACAAAGGTTACTTTTTATTGTTCAAGCTGGTCAGCTTGGATCTTACTCCATGGCAGGGGAATTAGATGCCAACCAGCCATAAAGTGAAGCTTTTAAAGGGCAGACCACAAGGCTGAAGGCCACAAATTTCAGAGTTTAAGTAAGATACATTTGATTAAGATAAGACAGGGCATAGGGTTGCAGGGTCACAGGGTCACAGGGTCTGTCAGTTATCCCCTGGGCTGAAGGATCTTTACAACCAGTAGGGAATCTTTATGACCAGCAGTTAGCAGACATAGGAATGTTTGAATAAGTGGTGGACAGTCACCTCCCCTTCTCTGAGAGGGGGCTCAGGTGCCAGCCATGGCACTCCGGATTTAAGGAGTTAAATTTTTCTTTACCATTAGAAGTTCCCTTTCTCTATAGATTTAGGGCCCAAGCTTTTAAACTTTTATTAATTTTAATTTTTGGTCCTTCAACTGCTGTCAAGATATCAGTGCTTACAAGATTTAAGAATGAAAGTAATCCAGTCTCAATCAAAATTGTATCAGGATAGCTCATAACATTGAAAAATTGAACTTTATATTGAAAAACAAAGGACCCAGAAGAGCTGACTAGAACTGGCTAGAAGGCTACAGCAATCATGACAGTGTAGTGTGCTAAGGGATATTTCAAATTGATCAGAGGAACAGGATAGAGTACCCAGAAAGAGACATAATTATGGTCAACTTACCTCTATTTTAATATAATAATTGCATATTCATATGCAAAAATACAACTAAGACAAAGATATTCTACTTTTCCTAAGATTAATTTGAGTCATCCTAAATACAAAATATTTTAAAAATCTATAAAGTTTCTGGAGAAAATCTAGATGGTCTTGAATTTGGAAGAGAAGATCAGTTAGTTGGACTTCATTAAATAAAAAGCTCCTGCTCTGTAAGCAGTATTGTTGAGAATGACCAGTCACTTTGCAGGCTGGGAGAAGATTTGCAAGCCACCTATCTGACAGAAGACTTATATTTAAAATTTAAAAATACCTCTAAGATTAAGAAATAAGAAAAATGCCAACCTAGTTAAAAAGTTGGCAAAATGGAGAGGTGTCTCGTCAGTGAAGATTCAAAGAGGCAGAGAAGCACATGTAAAGATGGCTATGCCCTAAGTCTTAGGGAGGAGGTCAAAGCATTGGTGTAGAACTACACTGACCTATTAGAACAGCCAAAATCCCGAACCAGAACTGATACCGCTGGGAAGCATGCGGCACAACAAGAACTCTTGTTCCTTACTGGTGGAAATGCAAAATGTTCTAGCCACTGTGGAGACAGTTTGGCAGCTTCTAACAAATCCAATTAGACTGTTACCACTGCCCACACACCCTCCCCCCCAACGCAATTACAGTCCTTGGTACTCACTAAGTAAGATGCAAGCTCATATCCACACCGACACCAGTACCTACCTACTCATGGCAGCTTTACCTATAATCACTAAAAAAAAAAAAAAAAAACTGGAAGCAAACAAAATTCCCTTCATTAAGGAATTCTGACAAGTCCATAAAATGAAATACACTGTCATAGAACAGAAGTGTGCAGGTAACAAAGACAGTGTAACCTGAAGATACTTGTGGTACTATCTGAAAGAGACAAAACTACGGAGACAGAATTAGTGGCTTCTGGGTGTGTGTTGCAAGGAGGAATGACTCAGCAGAGCACAAAGGATGCTCAGGTCGGGGAAGCCATTGTGTGACAGTGTACTGGGGGAGACATGGCATTATACTTTCATCAAACCCACAGAATATCCAGTATCAAGCGTGAGCTCTAATGTTAACTGTAGCTGTAGATTGGTGATAACCGTCCAGTATTGGCTCACTGACTGTAACAGATGTGAGCTTAGCAGTAGCCTGTTGTACACAGAGGAGGTCACTACATGAAGACTATCATCAGCTCTGTTGCATACAAATCAAAGTTCTTCAAAAAATAAAGCCCTTCAATGTTGTTTTAAGAACATTAGTTCCCTGATGTTGAGGACAGTAAGTCTGGGTAAATACGAGTTAGAAACCTTCTGCCCATCACTGTTTTACAAATGAAAGGACTTCAGCAGTCACATCCACACAGATGCAGCTTCAGTCTCCTCCCTGACTTATGTCTCTAGCCATTGTCTGGCCTATCTGCAACATGTATTGACAACACTGTTCAAGTAGGCATCTGGGCGCCTGACACCCCGGTTCCCTGTATCTCCATAGGGGTGTGGTCTGGACTAGCAAAGCTTTGGGTGGTTTCTGCCCGTGTCCCTCAGAAGTCATAGTTTGGGAAATATCCCAAGTTTTCTAACTGTAGACTAAGAGGATTAATGTATTCCCAGCCAGGTACCAAGAGCTCTTTCCAGGGCTGCTCTGTTTTTAGAAATTAAATCCCAGGGCCAGGACCTGTCCACGTGGTCCCTGACCCTCTCTGTTTTGGCACTCCACACACTACTTTTCTCTTTTCACATCTAGGCTAAGAAGTCAATCTCTTCCCACCTGAGCACACTGGCAGACTTTGCCATCGATATGTTTGAAGTCCTGGATGAAATCAACTACCAGTCCTACAACGACTTTGTTCTCCGAGTCGGTAGGTGACTCTGAACCTCATCCGTGCCGCTAATGGAAGATGCTAGGAGCAGAGTCAGTGCAGGCCTGTGGTATCACAAAAGGTGGGTCTTGCTGGCCAGCAGTGCATGGAGACAGCATCATCTCTGAAGGTGGCTTGTGGCCGTGTACTGCTTAGGCGTAAGGAGCCTCCTTAGTCACTGCTGTTGTCATTCAGAGGCATCTCTGCATCCTTGGTCACTGCTGTCATTCAGAGGCACCTCTGTGTCCTTGGTCAATGCAGTCATTCAGAGGCACCTCTTCATCCTTGGTCCCTTGGGAACAGGCTCCTCCATCACCACCCTGATTGCTAGCTGAGCCATGCTGGTCCCTTTGTAAAGAAGTTTTAGAAGGAGTCCAGCAGCAGGGCCCAGGCAGCTCCTTCCTTGGCTGTGACTTGAGGGGGGACCTTTTCTCATGTTTACAAAACCCTATTAGGAAATAAGCTTCTGGGGCTGGAGAGATGGCTCAATGGTTACGAGTACTGGCTGTTTTTCCAGAGGTCCTGAGTTCAATTCCCAGCAGCACTCTATAATGAGATCTGATGTCCTCTTCTGGATCAAGTCATTCATACAGACAGAGCACTCATATACATAAAATAAATAAATCTTTTGAAAAAAAAAAAAAAGAAAACAAATTCAACTTTGGCCTGAGATGTAGGACCGTCACAAAAAATTCTACTCATCTAGAATCTAGCTGAGTTCGTGTCAGATAATTTCCCTTCCCTCCCTGTCTCTTCCTTCTTGTCTCCTTTGGAATACAGTCACCTGGAGATTTATGGTCACCTAACAATGCAAAGGTCCAGTGGCCTTAAAACGGCCCTGGTTTATTCTTGAGTGCAGGGGTGGTGGGGCAGCGGGTGGTGTGTCAGTGTCCTTAGAAGCAAGCTGTTTGGACATGGTGTCCCCTGAGGGCAGGGGCAGAACAGCCCTGACCTCTTTCCTGGTGGTCAGTCTCCTCCTGGGCCTCAGGCTCTGATCGATGCAAGTGTACTAATGTGACAAGGTGCAGACTGGGTGTTGGAAGTCCCGCTTCCCCAGCATCTGGCCCCTGTGTTGGCCCCACAGTGAGATTGGATGATACTCCCTTCCAGCTCTACTTCCCAGCTGACCAGTTCCTACCCAGGTTTCCCTGCCTGGATATAGGTGGAGAGACTCACAAAGGTAGCTCCTAGAATCCTATCAGCCATTTGAGAAGTAGCCCTCAAGTGACCTTCCTAGGTCACCCATGAGCCTCCAGAATTGTTTCTAATGCCTGGGACTTCAGAGGAAGTTCAGAAATGTTGCTTCCCATGCCCAGATAGACAGGCAGGAAGTGGCATCTATGCAGACCAGGCAGCCCCATTTGCAGGGATAGCTATCTTAGACTGTCGTGAGAATGCAGCAGATGTCCCACCAGGACAGGACAGGGTGACACAGGACATTTACAGGGCATGAAACCTACCCAGAGAAGGTGAGCAGTTTGTCAAAACTCTCATAAGTGGTAACTCAAACTTGAGTGTACCTGGACCAGAAGTGATGGTGTGGAGCTGTGCAGGCCCTTGAGGCCAAGTGGTCCCTGCCCTGTGGAAGGTCTTGCCCTCCTCTCTGGATATCTGAATTTGTACTTGGTGCTAAGACCCTCACTCTGAGCAATATCCTAGGAAGCTACTGCTAAGTTGGGGGACCGAGGAGATGTACCTGGAGGTACACCGTGGTCATAAATGCTATAGAGGCAGACTTCCTGGTAGCTCCAGAACAGGACTCTGTGCAAGGGACAAAGTGACAGTGATGCAGAAATATGCCCTTCTAGTGAGAATCCACTCCACACAGCTCTGGCTAATGCCCAAAGGGGAGCCAGTGATGAACGGAAGCTTTTTTCCTAACATACATAGTCTTTTAGGCTTATGCAATCTATATGTGCTGTTATCCCTCAATCTCTTCCAGATCCTGGCCCCAGGTTACACTGAGCAATTGAAACAGGAGATAGCAAGTCTGGCCGCTTGGGCAGATGGGAGATTTACACCGCAAAGATACTGCTGGAATTCTTTCTTTGTTCTATTCTTTCAGATAGTCACCCTGGTTTATCTTGTCCACTTGGGGCGGAATTAGGCTTTTCCTGATAAGAGCCCAGAGGATTTAATGGTAGACCAGGGCTTAATGGTGGTTGTGACTCCAGGCTCTGCACCCTTGAGTTGCCTCCCCCCCAGGCTTGCTATATGACATGGGATTGAGTCTAATTGGGTTTGTCTCCTTTTGTTATGGGGATGGAGCCTAATTAGAGAGGTCAATCTCGGTGAACAAACATGAGCAACTGAGACACAAATATTCCTTCCTCAAGTTTCTAACGATCTGGGTTCGCACACTACTCACTTTGTAAGCAAGTTTGTTAGTAAAGCCTTTTTAGAGTGATTTTTACCTCTTCAGGTTTCTCCTGCATCAGCAGCCCTCCCCCCGGGGGGGGGGGGCTTTTTCTTGGGATTAGGAACTGCTCTGATGGCCAGTGCTTCTGCAGGTGGGCTGCCTGCTGACTGGCCCTCCTGGGGAGGCTTGGACCAGTTTGGATTGTTGCCACTTGTGTTAGACCCAAGTGGCTCTCAGAGAGACTGAAGGGCATGCCTTTTCACCAGGAACAGCATCAGCACACAGGCTTCCCAATCACATTTTTCCAGCTGCCCACAGGGCATTCTGTGGCTGTTTTCCAGGCATCAACGTTGGCCCTGTGGTGGCTGGAGTGATTGGCGCTCGCAGGCCCCAATACGACATCTGGGGAAACACAGTCAATGTGGCCAGTCGAATGGACAGCACTGGAGTCCAGGGAAGAATCCAGGTAAATCACCCAGGAATCCCAAAGACAGGGGCTCCATTCAGCTGCGGGAAGGAGGGGAGATCGAATCATCAGGGATCCTTGGGTCTGTGGCTGATTAGTGGCAGGGCAGATTAAGCTGAGTGCCCTGTGTCTGCTGGGGACCTGGACAACACTGTTAAATCTGGCAGATTGCTTTAGCTGTTTGGTTTTTTCATGCATCCTTGGGGCCACTCCCTAGTGAGCAGATGTAAACTTGAGGATCACAGTGAACCAGGCATCACTAAGTAGCCTGACAGCCAGGCTACTCAGTGTTCTACCTTGTTTCAAAGCCATGGTCACAGCTGGGCTTGGTGGCACACACCTTTAACCCCAGCACTTGGGAGGCAGAGACGGGTGCATCTCTGTGAGTTCGAGGCCAGTCTGGTCTACAGAGCTAGTCCTGGAACTAGTCCAAAGCTACACAGAGAAACCCTGTCTCTGAAAAACAAAAAACCAAACCAAACCATGGTTGTCATACAGCTGTCATAGCAGCATATGGGGGAAAGGTGTTTCTCATGTGTTTGGAGAGCAGGATGGTGGACGTGCCTACGGCTTCTGAGGAGTTTCACAGATAGGACTCGGTGGCTAGCATATCTTCTAGCAACCACTGAACGGTGAGCTTCTGGTCTTCATCAGTGTTGGGGAATTGTTCAGCTTTTAGTATTTCCCCCTAAAATAACACATGACCTGCCATTTAGATGTAGTCCTGTGGGTTGCATGGGGCCTATGAAGGGTACCCTGGCCTCCTGCCAGTCACTAGAGAACTGCAGCCTTCCAGGGTTTTGGAGAAACATCCTTATTATTCTGCCGCATTTTCCCTGGTTTAAGGACATGTAGGAACAGGGCAGTGAACACAGGACACTTGAGAGGTAGTGCTTGCCCCTTAGCAACTCTATGTTTTTGCACTGATGACATTTATTTTATTGTGGTAAATTACATGTATACAAAATGCACCGTCTTCACCATTGACAGGGATAACTTTGTGTGCCAAGCATCCTCATAGTGGGGCAGCTACCACTGCTGTCCTATTTATGACACGCAGTCTGTTGTCACCCTAGAGAGTAGGCTTACACTCTCCGACCGCCCTCCCTGGACCAGTCATTCCCAAGGGAGGATTTCCCCCTTTGGTTACTGTAGTAAAATGACCTGGCAAAAGCAACTCAGTGGAGAAAGGGTTTATTTTTGTTCAGCGGTTGTTCTAGGTCCAGTCCATTGTGACACAAGTCCGGCCAGCCAGTGGGAACCGGATGGCATTGTGTGCTGTAGTCAAACGAGCAATGATGTGTGTGTATTAGTGCTAGGCTCGCTTGCTCCACCTACATGACCCAGGCTACACTCACAACTAAGATGGTCCTCCCATACCAATTGACATCATCAAAACAATCCCTCACTAGGCAGTTCCTGGAGACCCTCCTCCCAAGGGATTCGGGATTCTGTCCAGTTGACAACACTAACTAAACATCACACTACCTGTATCCCTTGTCAACGTGAGGCTCACACATAAATCCGTTTTAAGTCACAACCTTCCACTCTTTGGTCCCATAGGCTCAAGACCGTCTTAAAATATATTCCAGCCAAAATGAAAATCCTACCCAGTCATTAGTAGCAACACCACTGTACAGTCCAAATGTCAAATTTCAAAAGCTTTTTCATCCTTCCAGCATTCAGAGTGAAATGAGTTTACATGACACAGAATAAACATGCCTCTTTCTAAAATGAAGAACCAAGACACAGCAAGAAACGGTTGCACCAAAGCAAAACCGAAATCCGCAGGGCAAGTGCTAAACCCTGTATCGAGAATTTAGGGCTCATAATGTAATCAGCTGGGCCCCTAAATGCTTGGGTAGAACTCCCCCTCTAGCTTCACGGGGTTAGCCAAAGCTCTCCTTGCCCACAACTGTCCTTGTCCTCAGTTCTCCTTGCCCATAGCCCTCCTTGCCCATAGCCTTCCTTGCTGGATGTCCCACCCTGGCTCCTCTTATGTCTAATAGCTAATAAATGGGTCCTCATTGCAATTGAGGTGTCACCTTAACAGCTTCCCGAAGTTCACAGTGGCCTCTTGGGACCCTGCCTCATACTGACTGACTTTGGCTCCAGACCCCCTCAGTCTTACATCCTTTATGCCTTCAAAACCAGTACCACATGGATGACACTGCCAAGCTCTCTCTGCCACTCTCTCAAGATAGAGTCCAGACAGCTTGGACCATAGCTATACCTGTTTTCGCCTGACCGTAAAGAAGCATTCCTTTAGACAGTTGTGTTCAAGGAACAAAGAATGCTATTAGCTTAGGCTTCCTTTCCCTTTAAATAAATTGGAATTTTTACAAGATAGTGGGTTGGGTTTTGCCCTCAGGCCCTCCATCTCATTCCAGTGCCTTGTAGACTGCTTCTCTTCAGTCCTGCTGATCTCTTTAATAATCACACAGCTTTCTCAACACCAGGCTGATTGCCTTCATCTCCTTAAATCGACCCTGCCTGAGGAATCAGTTCATTATCTTTAAATTCTTTTTAATCAAGTTCTCAGGACACAGCAGAACGAAAGCAGATTGTTGGCCAAAATACCACACAGATGGCTGTTAGCCCAATGTCTGATGGAGTCCTTGATACCCCCTGGAACCTCATGAACTGGGCCTCCATGGTCCACGTTTCTCTCAGCATTCATGTTTTACAATTTCCAATGAAATGGCCCATTAAGCTCTGCTTCCAATAGAAGCAAAAACAGAAAATGACTTTTCTAGCCCGGAGTTTCAAACTCTCCCACATTCCAGCTGTAAGATCCTAACAGCTTAAGAACCACATGGTCAGGTTTATCACAGCAGCAGCCCACTCTTTAACGTGGACTTCTGTCTTAGTTTCTTTTCCTGTTGCTGTGGTAAAATATCCAGATAAAAGCAACTTATTGGTTAGGGTTCTCTAGAGGAACATAACTAACAGTATGAATATATATTCATATGTATATACATACTAAATTTTTAAAATATTACTCAGGTCTTGGTAGTCCGATAATGCCTGCCTTCACATTGGAGAAGCAGAGAGCCTGGTAGCTGCTTAGTCCACAAGGCTGGTTATATCAGTAGTCCCAGTCTGCTGCTGATGGCCTGGAAGGTTCCTAGGGAGCTGCTACCCTTCATTCTGCATTGGAAAGTCAAAGAAGCTGCATCCTAATGTCAGCAAAGACTAGCAGCAGCAACAGGGCAGATGGACTCACAGCAAGGTGCAGTCAGGGTAGATGATCCTTTTGGTGACATGGGCAACATAAAAGTAAGCAGCAAAAGCAAAGCTCTTCCCCTCAGACCATCTTCTATCTGTCTGTCAGGAGACAGTGTCACCCACATTGAGCAGGGGTCTTCCCCCTCCACATAAACTGCTCAAGGAAATGAAATCCTGCATAGGTGTTGCTGCTAGCTTGCCTCTTGGTTGATTCCAATTGATAACAATATCAACCATCACAGAGCCCATCCTGTATCCAGCTGGGCTATTGCCTGAAGCCAACATTTTATCTGTTACTAGAATCTGCTCTGAGCTTGACTGTGGCCCAGCTCCTCTGCCCCAAGCATGGCTTCCCACATGGCCTTCTCCATAGGTCTCCCTGCTACACCCAATGCCTCTGTCTTCCTTCCATTTTCTAGACTAAGTCAGATGAGGTCAGGGTTGCAAAGAAAGAGACCACCACTCCAGCTGAAGTGTCTGGGCAGGGCAAGTTTTACTCTTGATCAATAGAACACACTCAGAAGAGCAAACACACGAGACAGGAAGTGCATTTGGATTTTATTCTACTCAGGTAGTGAAGGTGTCTTTTCTCCATTGGCTGGGGTGGAACCCAACGTGATTAATTAGTCTGAAAAGAAGATTGGTCCACAGGACACAAAGGAGGAAGGGAAAGAAAGGGTTCACTACTCTAGGCCATCAAATCCCTGGTTTTCAGGGTTTGAGGTTTAAAACATTTGCATAAAGCTGAGGAGGCGGAGACAAAAAATTTTGAATTCTTTGTATTTGCTAGATAAGGCTCACATTTGATCTCTTACACTAGTGCTCAATTTGATGGGGAGGGCCACCGTCCCCGGTTCTGCTAGAGTGTGAAAAGTTAGCTGGAGACAATTTCGTTGTTTGAACATAAAATAGGAGGAGAGGTGAAGCCAGGAGACAAGAAAGTGGAGAGGCCTCCTCTGCTGGCTTAGGGAAGTGCCAGGGATCACGTAGATTTCCTTTATCTTTTCTCTGTGTTGGGGAGGCAGGGATTCCTGGAGCCTGGACACTGGTCTGAAGCCCAAGAAAAGAGGAGTTAAGAGATGGCCATTTTCTCCCAGCTTTCTTTGCCCTCTGTGTACTCATGGCCAGTACCCCCATTTAGTAGCTATACCCCAACCCCAACAATCAGTGCTGCCAGTCCCAGGTGGGGTAAAGTACCAGACTCTATTTTGCTGAGTTATGTGAAGCCCCCAGCCAGAGAGCCTGCCTCTACCCCTCTGAGCTTAACACTGAGGCTAGCCCCACATAGCCCCTTACTGGCACTCAAAGCAGCCACAATGGCTCACCCACGCCCTGCTGGGTCCTTAGCCCTCATTGCCCCCACTTGCTCAGATGCAGAGTAGCTTTGTCCAAGTACTGCCAGAGTTGGGCAGCTGGGATGGGGAATGGGGTGCAGGGTAGATGGTACCTGGGGGGCTCCTGCCCTGCAGGGACCCCCTCATTGTGCATGACTAAGACTGTGGGCTTCTTTCCACTGGCAGGTGACTGAGGAGGTCCACCGGTTGCTGAAGAGGTGCTCATACCAGTTTGTGTGCAGAGGCAAAGTCAGCGTCAAGGGCAAGGGAGAGATGCTAACATACTTTCTAGAAGGCAGGACTGATGGAAACAGTTCCCATGGCAGGTCTTTTCGCTTGGAGCGGAGAATGTGTCCTTATGGGAGAGGTGGAGGCCAGGCCAGACGGCCCCCACTGTGTCCTGCAGCTGGACCCCTGATCAGGCCGGGGCTCCCCCCAGCCCCCACTAGCCAGTACCTGCCACCCACAGCAGCAGGGAAGGAAGCCTAGTGGAGCCCATGGCCACTGGAGATGCATGCAAAGAAGATTGCTCCAGGTTGACACAGGCCATCATGGCTCCAGCCAAGACCAGCCAGAGGAGCAGTTGCCCAGCGGCTGGGCAGGAGAAGAAGCATCGTCTAGGCGTGGCCTGAGGCCAATGGGAGATGTGCTCGAGCCACCCACTTGGGGCATACAGAGCCCTGTCTCTTCCTGGTGACCTGGTCACGCCTGGCTAATGTTGCCATTGGTGGTGGGGCCTTGGGAATATCTTCCATGGTCATAGTGAAAGCTGCGGAGGTTCAGTTGGCAGAGGAGCCCCAAGTCAGCCTGGCTTATGGGTGGCTCCAACCCTGGGTAGCAGCTTCGTGTGCCAGACTGGGAAGTTGGCCCCGCTGGGCAGGGCCACGACAGTTGAGCTATTCATACCATGGGCACAGCTTAGAGCTGGTCAGGTCTTGGACAGGACAGTACAGGAAGAATTGAAAAGCCACCTCTTACTGCATGAAGAGTGACGTTGCTAGCTTTCCTCAAGAGTAGGCTTTTGCTAACAGCCAGAGGCAGGTCTTCTGGAACCCTCAGGCGGCCCTACAGCCCCCACTTCTTTCCTCTTGGCCTGTGCATTCTCTTCCAACCCCACCTGCCTGTTGGTTCCTGATTCCCGTGACAGTGGGTCCTCCTCTTCCTGTGCCGTCACCGGGCATTCAGAGAAGAGGAGGGGTGTGCGCTGACTTGCCTTCTCTGTGGTGTCTTGGACACTGTAACAAGAATCATGCCTTCCTTTATGCAAAGAGTGATTGACCTACTACACCCACGAACAAGCACTGTCCTTGCTGGAAGACATCGTTTCACTGGAGTAACCAACCATTCCTCCTCTTGGGAGTTTCAGAGTTGGCAGTGTGTGCTCCTGAGTCTTAGGTACGGTGTCCCTGCTCCAGAGTGAAATGAAAGAGTGATCCTATTGATGTTGGGGTCTCCCATCTGCGCTTCCCCTTGACTGCAGCTGAGGTGGAACCTCAGTGTGGGGACAGGAGTCTTGGAAGAGCTGCTAGGAAGCAACAGGCTGGAAATAGCTGGACGAAACCTGGAGATGTTCAGCCTCACTCCCAGGAAGGGAGGCGGCTTGCAACAGGGCAGGTGGGCATAAGCTCTGCCTGCTCATGGCTGTGAGGCTCATCTTCTCAGTGCCCTCCAAGGGCTTTCCCCCTTCCTGAGGTTCTGTCTTCTTAGACTAGAGCAGAGCAAAGCCTAGCCTTCCCTGGCAGGGTGCATATGTGGGATCCCTAGTCCCCAACTCAGCTCTGGCGCAAGTGTGTGGCCATGCCAGGGCCTGGGTAGTTTTGCAGGTCAGCCAGCACCTATCCTGGGAGACTCAGCCAAGGCTAGAATCTGGTCACATGTGGGTAGCAAGAAAATATCAAGCTAGGGAGAGCTGGAGGCTGCATGCAAAGTCTCCAAGTACCTGAGACTAGACTGCACTGCAGGTGCCCGAGGGTGGCGTTGGGGCAGCTGTGAAGATCGCATATTCTGAATGGGCTGGAGCTTGTTGGTGGTGATAAAGGTAGCCTCTGACACTATCTGCGGAGGTGCTCTGACCTATGCCCACCCTGCTCTGTTGCCTTTCTGATGCTATCAGGCAGGGTGTTATGGCCCCCTTGTTGCCTTTCTGACACCCTACTCTTGCTTGAACCCAGAGCCAGGGCCGGACTGACCTCAGTACTCCACTGCAGCCTTCAGGGGTGGAGAGCAGATAGCTTCGCCCTCTTCAGGGGGTCATGTCTGCTTCCTGTGGCTTGGTATTCTGCTATAGCAGTTCTGGGGGGGGGGTGCTGACTCCAGTAGAGCTGAGGGCAGGGAGAGCTTTTGGGTTTCTCCCATGGTCCAGAATTCCATCAGAGATTGCATTTATGGGAAAGCTTCAGGCTGTTGGGGGAGGGGAGCCTCAAAGGACAGGAAAAATCATGAGCCAGGACCTGGCTGGGGCATGCAGGTACTCATTCTTTGTGGCTCCTGCCTCCTGCCTCCTCCCACATTTTCCCATCCTTCTGACAAATAGCTTTTCCTCATGGGCCTTTTTCGCTAGAACTTCCTCACCTATCTGTCTTCCTGTCTGTCTGTCTGTCTGTCTGTCTGTCTGAACCAGATTTGAAGCAGTCAGCTCAGACAGGAGCACCCAGAGCAAATGAGTACTTTGTGGCCCTGGCTCTGTAGTGCTCGCTGTCCCTGGCCTTCTAGGTCATTAAGGATGGCAGAAAACCTCTAGCACAGCCTGGGTTTCCTCATAGTGGCTTCTGGGCCTCCAGAGCTACTGCCTCCCTGAGCCGTCCAGGTTAGGGGCAGAGGAGTGGCTCTCAAAGATGTCCACAGGATAGCCCCAGGCCCTGTGTGTGTGTCCTTTTCTGTCAGCCAAGGAGCTTCAAATGGGGACTTAGGGTAGCCAGTGAAGGATGAGAAGGGATCCTAGACTGTGCCAATGGGGTTGATGCAGACACATGGACTCTCAGAAGTCAACAGATGGGTGGACCAGCTTGGAGACATATGAAGCATCCACTGAAGCATCCACCGAAGAGACCTATGAGGACAACAGCTCCAGCCAACAAAGAAGCCAGAATGTCACTCCCACAACCACAGGGGACTGAAATTGGACCTAGCCTGAGTAAGCAGCAGGCAGATGACCAGAACCATCAGGGAGGAGCCCAGTGACACCTGGATCTGACCTATAAGACTCTGAGCAGAGCCAGCCAAGGCCTGTAGCACTGCACTCACCCGGCGTGTGCAAAATGGAGAGCACACAGGCAGAGCGACCCACCGTGTGGTCAGGGCAAGAGAAAGCAACAGATAGAGTAGCATTGCCTTCTCTGGGCACAGAACTGTTCTGAAGTAGACCACAGAGGAGCCTTGGCTGGGTCTCTTCTTCAGGGGCAACATCTCCATCATCAGCAATTCCAAACCCGCCTACTTCTTGTGAGGTCAGGGACCACACGTGCAGCCATAGTGTTCCACTGGGTTTGGTGATAAACGACTTTCTTTTTATTTGTGATAAAATGTATTATATTGCCTTATTTATTTTTAATCTTGTACAATATTCATGTACAAATGTTAGAGCCATTTGGGTAGGATTCTCTCCAAATTATTTATTTTAAGATGCTCTGTAAATAGTGCACCAGTTACAGGTGCTTCCTGTTCACTTGTACCAAAAATGAGGCAAAGCCTGGCACCCACGTCAGCCCCTGCTTGTGATGCTGTGGCCCTTGGGAAATGACCCCTTTGTGTTCCCTTCTCAATCCTAGCATGCCTCCCGTGCCTGATGTTGTAGAATAGAACACAGCCCCAGAATGCTTCCAAATACTTCCATGGGCTGTGCCAACCTGGGATGGTCCACTCCTGAAGTGTCTATATCTGCAGGCGTATGTCCCCACACACCCACAACCCACTTGTTTCTCAGACTCCAACACCACCAGGGCTTCCGGACCCCTTCTGTCATAGAAGCAATAACCATAACTCTACACTGTAGAGACAATCTGGGCCAATCAGGCTGATACTTCGAAAACTACCCACGCATATGGGTTTGCTACAAATGACTGACATTCCAGGTCCCCACCTCTCCCAGAAGATCCAGCACTAGCTTCTTGGTTCCTGGAACCAGGATTGGTACCCCCAGATAGCTGAGCAGACTGAGCCAGCCACTAGTCCTGAGCCCCACACTATCGCTCACTGAGGAATAAAGTGTAGGGCAGCCATCCAATCCTGTATCTGTGCCTATCCTTGAATCGTGATGCTTTATGTGACCAAGGGTAGTAATGGTTTGCTTCAGTGATGTGAGCATCAGATAGTAATGGTTTGTTTCAGTGGTGTGAGAATCAAAAGTAACATCTCAGTGCACTTGTTGCAAAGAAAGCGATGCCATATTCAAGATTGCCCATCTCACCTTGATCAGTGTCATCCTGGTGGAGAAGAGATCTGTGTTGGAGAGGGAAACAGGAAAGTGCTAAGAAGAGAGCTCTGACTGTGGATTCAGGCTGTGGGTTTAGCTGCCAGATGTGGCTAGCATTCAGAGAGTTCACATTTTATTTAGGTGCAATCCAAAGGACCCTGTGACATAAACTTGCCCTAAGAGCAACCTGTAGAAGCTGTGTAAATGACTTGCTTTAATGGGCTGGGTAGGAGAGGAACAGTTTGGATTATGGAATCAGGGAAGGTTTTATTTGATTCTCCCAGCCATCACCACTCTCAACATGGTAAGTTCTAGGACTTTTGGAGTCCCAAGGGTTTTGTTCACAGCCTGTACAGAGCTTCAGTCTGTGGGTGGGTGGGGGGTTTACAGAGCAAGTGTGTACCTTTCACACCAAGCATAACTAGTAGGGAAGGAACATTCCTACATATGTTGCTCATGCATAGGCACTGTGACAGGCTACAGAAATCATGCTCATATATTACTTTCTTAAATGGCTGTCTATACATAACCCCAGAAACTGGCTTGCTCATGCGTTTCAGTGGCTTCAGTTTTTAAAGAGTGTTCTCCCATGCACATGTGTGCACATGCACATACAAACCAAACCAAACAAAACAAAACAGAAAACCCTTCTCCAAGGCGTCTGGCTTGGGGAAATTACTAAAGAACAAGACTGGCAACTTGGAAGTCATATGGGCCCTGAAGTATCTTCAGCTGTGATTGGCTTTGAATGTTTCCATTTTGGGTCTGAACCAATAGCTCCTCACTTTCATTTACAGCTGCAGGCTTGGGGGTAGGTTGGTGGTTAAAAATGTGTGTGCATGCACATGCACATAGTTTTCACAGGGAATACTGGAGTTGGTTTGTATTCCTGGCTCCTTAGGCTGGGGTTAGAAGAGTTGCATGGGGTGGATTTAGAATCAGGGATCTACTTGCTGATGTGATGGGACCCAGGCAAAATCGGAGCTGCCCTCAGCTGGCCTGGGGATAGGAAGCTAGCCTCTGTTTTGGTCAGAAAGAGGCCTCCATCTAGGAACTGACCTAGACAGCTATCTTGCACACTAATCATTCTGAGCTCTTGGGTACCAGAG